GCCGTCGTCACCGCCGTCGCCCTCGGGCGGAAAATAAGCTGCGTCACGTACAGCATCAGCAGGTTCTCCGAGCTCATCTCGCCCATCAAGGCCGTCGCGTTGTCGAGAGAGAGGGAGAAAGACGCCGCGAACATAAAGAAGCTGCTGGAGGAGGGGGACCTGGTCATTTGCCCCGAAGGCACCACGTGTCGCGAGCCGTTCCTTCTTCGGTTCAGCGCGCTCTTCGCGGAGTTGACGGACAGGATCGTTCCGGTGGCGATAAACACGAAGCAGAGCATGTTCTACGGCACGTCGGCGAGGGGGTGGAAGCTGTTCGACCCCTACTTTGTGTTCATGAATCCTAGGCCAACTTATGAGATCACGTTCCTGAACCAGCTGCCTCGAGAGCTGACGTGCGCCGGGGGGAAGTCGCCCATCGAGGTCGCTAATTATATACAGAGGGTTTTGGGAGGGGCGCTGGGGTTTGAGTGCACGAATTTTACGAGGAAGGACAAGTACGCTATGCTGGCGGGGACCGACGGAGTCGTGCCGAACAAGAAGAAGGGTTAGCCAGCATCGTTAGCGTCGCGATTGTGGATCAGCGCCCTGCTCTGGAATAAGAAATGAAGGCGTGCGCGTGAATTGATTACTGCTGCTTCCGAAAACTAGCTTCAGATGTTTTGTAATTATTCGGCGGTGTTACTTTTATGGAATGTTTTTAAATTTTAATTGTAAGTTCAAATTGAATTGGGTAATATTAATGTAATTGGTGAAAGTGTGAAAAATCCCTGCGTCTCCACTGTCACATGTAAAAGAAAAGCTTCTAAATAATCTATTTACATAGGTTGATATTAGATGGTATTTTGGAGTTTGATACAAGAGTGTCCAAAATTCACAAGTTATGCTGCATTATGTCTGATTTTTGTTGAGGATCCTTTTCTATAAAAACTCCATCGCTCCTCTCAATTCTTTGCTCTAAAATTATGCCAAAATCACAGTTCGGCTTCCTAAGCATATAACTAATTTGGATCCAGGGGTCTCATCCTTAAATCTAACCCAGTTCAAATTAAAATAAGGTTCTCGAGTACACCTAAATTGGGGGTAGGGGTAAATTGCCAGTAAATGAGGAATGGCTAAGCTGAGGGTTATAAATTAACCCAAAAAATGTAGTATGATACACTGCATACTACCAATGACGATCTCTAAAATTGTCATCTTTCAGCACAACTTGTCTGTAAATAAACATGTGGAATCTGATAATTAAGTTAAAGCAGGGTTAAACAAAAGAGAGTTAAGGACGAGAATAATTTACGGCTTCCATCTGTACAACTTTTTCCCCTTCTTTGATCAGGAGAAGGCCCTCATTTATACAAAACAAAAAAAATCTATATATAGATAATTTCTTTTTAAAAATAACAATATATAAATATGACCCTCACAATTCCTCTACTTCTAATAGTGATGAAAATAAAGTACAAAAGCTTGCCTTATAGCAGTAATTCCCGGATTTTTACTGGTCTCTTCACTGCATTTGTGAAACCCTGTGAAATTGCGTATGAAATGAAACAAAGTCAATGATCATCCTATTAAAAATTTCAAGCATTTGAGATTGAAATAAAAGTTATGACTGATAAGGCCAAGTTCGACATTCCATTCACTTGTAGAAGACAGAAACTGCACAAGTTACAGTCAAACGCTCACAAATGCTCAGAAACAAATCACAGAAGGTGCAAGTCGTTGCCATGAGAATGTGACTTGTATATAATAAGAATCAATTAGATGTGATAAAATAATCCAGATACACTGGCCTAAACAACTGAATACTGGAACAATGTTTTTGTTCTTCTCTATTCACATTCACTGGATAGCATGGATTTTTTACTTGATAACAAAAGCAGGTGTATATGGAAGCTAGTAGCTTTGATGGGTAAGGATGAGTCCTAGCCAGTATGCTACTTCGACTATATTTCTTGGACAGTAGTAGGACTCGAGAGAATAATAGGTGAGACCCCTACGCAATAAATGGCCCTTGTGTAACGTATAAGTGGTAGGATTATATCCTATCTCTTATCCAAATATAGTTCAATTATCAATTCTCAAGGGACAATTTGGAAGGGATCTTTCCCTGTGTCTTGCTCAGGTTAGGAGCTTGTTCGGTTGGGTGTGGGGATGGATTGAGGGAGTAATGGGTTTGTAAATCACATTAAAAGGAAAACAAACAAATGAAGATGAGCATAAGAAATACACAGCTTGCACACATTGATTTTTGAAATTACACAAGTCGCCGTGAACATGGGCAATACCTAGCAGATGTTCGTCTTGCATCCTTGGTCAAACCAAAGCGCGCGCGTGTTTTATTTTTCTTTTTTTCTTTGTTGTATGTGTATAGTGTAGGTGACTTCAGATAATGGGATAGATCATACCTCATTATATTTGAAGAGCAAAGGGCGTGAATCCCTTTCTTCTGTTGCTGCCTTCTGTAAACTTTCTCCTGGATTTCCTGAGCCCTTGTTGCTTCCTTTTCTGAATCTGTTTTCTCACGTACATAAAGAAAACAATTAGCAACAGATGTACGCATTTGAGCTATAGTATCATAGAATTACATTTTAAAGGATGTTGTATGAATTTCCAACCTTTACGACATTTGAAAACACGTTTTTTAGAGGATACATAAATTGTTTTTTATCATATTTGGATCTGAGGTCAACTACCTAACTCCCTTGTGTAAGAATTTAAAAATTACAGTCTCTGAGTAGACTATGTATAAGATTGACTATTGAAAAGTAGAGGACAGCTACAATATAAAAGAAAACTCAGTTCAAGAATGTCACCTATCAAAGAAACTAGAAGAGGTGCGAATAGGCCTCTTGGACGTGCCATTTTCTTGGACGCTCTTGATGGTTTTTGAAGATGAGTTCAAGGGTATGTTGGCAGTATTCTGCCCCGGATTAAGTGCCACTTTGAGTTGGCTTCTGTCTCCAGCAGCTGAATATTTAGTCGTGTCCACTGTTAGCTTCTTCTCTGCACTTGGGAAAGCCTGAACTGCGGAGTTGCTCCCCTCAGAGGGGTTTATGGATTTTCCAATGCTCTCACGCAGAATCCTTCTTTTCTCAACCTTCAAGATTATGGAGAATATATAATGTGATATACTGAATAAAGAAAAAGAATTAGCCACCATGGTCTTTCTGCGAGAAAGTTTATACCCTAGTTTCTAAAAGCTAAAACTGTTGAAGAATAGCGGTGAAGTTGTAACGAAATTTGTTAACATACATTAGTAAAAACTAAAACTATTTGGAGAGTCATCTATGGCTGTCAAGTACCAATTGCAAAAACAAAAACCCTTGGTTGAGAGAGATTGCCGAATATTTGTTCAATGTGTGTTCATATATAGGTATACATGGATATTACGAATATAATTATATATTTTTGGTTCGAAATTTGCTAAATGATGATGTTTATAAATAGCAAGTTTTGCAATTACACAAGCTTGATCAAGGGAAAAGGATTTTTTTACTCAAATAAAAGAAACTCTTAAAAGTTCATAACTATATAATTAAATCAATACAAATATTTTAGTATACAGAGAAAATTAATCAGGTTCAAAGGCACGTTTGAATTCAGATTCTGATCTTGGAGAAGCAAACACAAATTTGGAGCACATTTGAAATAAATATATGAAATTGATTTTTGGCATCTCCCAAGCTACCAAATACCAATTTGTATTATAAGTAACTAAGAGGTTGTGCTAAGATTGTTTTTCTTTTGATCTGTATGTTTAAAGACTTCTGGTCATTTGTATAGCATTTTTAGGTATGAAACTTTTCCTATCAAAATTTCTTTTATAAGAAAAAGGGGGCATGTTTCTATGTGACCTACTTTTGTTTAGACATTAATCCATTGATGATATAACTAATGAGTTTTCTGTTTAACTGTAATAAAGTAGATATAGCTGTAATACAGCTCCTGGTCACTTTATATCAGCAAGTACACAGTACAAGAGTGAAAAAACATGAAGGTGATTTCAAATGCAAGGTCTAATATATCACCTCATGCACCAACACCTGTTTCATGGCTACAGAGAGCTCAAAATGATCAGAGTGATAATCCTGTTAAGATGAAGAGAGAAATTTTTAGATGAAGAACCTTTTATATTGGATAAATTAATTCAAGTTCTGGCAGAAGATAAACCTGAAATCTAACAAATTCGTTGATCGTGGGATCAAAGGAAAGCTCTGGAGCATCAGAAACTGGTCCATATGCATAAATCCTTTGGTAAGTTTTGGGTTTAGAGACTTTATATGTTATACAATATGAAACCATAGTATCCACAAGTTGAGACAGATCATTCTTTTCTCTTTCTGTCAACAAATGCAATGCTACCTGAAACATACATCAGACAGTTCCGTAAGTCAATGTAGCAAAAGAAAGAATAATAAAAGGTTTACCTGAGAAGGGGAAGGGGAGGTGGTGGTGAAAGAGGAGCTCAACAGAAGAGGAAGGGGAATCGGCTTCCTCGTCGGCTCGGTGATGGTGTTGTCAGAGGAGAAGATGAAGGGGAGATGGGTAAGGAGCTCAAAATAGGGAGAAGAGGAAGGGGAGTCGGCATCGGAGAAGATGAATTAGGGATTAGGTTGGTGGAGAAGAGGAAGGGCAGTCATTCTCAGGGAAGAGAAGTTAGGGGTTAGTTTGATTGGGAGTTTGGAAGGTGGGCATGTCTAGTTGAAAAACTGACATAGGCTCAAAAAATTAATAATGCGTAATGCACGCTATGTTACGCGACAAAGACACACAACATATTATGCTATTCTAAAATATCACAGCTTTATATCGCATATGAGCTATTTCAAGATGATATGCAATGACAAATACATATTATGCTACGTAACGCAATTTTTCGGGTTATGAATAATATTTTTTCAACTTTGTTTCCACATTAGATGCAAAGAAACAATTTGGTTCATGAAGAGAAGAGTTTGCAAAGCAGATGGAGACTAACAAGGAAAAGGCTATACAGAGCCTCAGCATGACCCAGGATTGTGGAGATGCTAAGGCTTTACGACTGAGACTTACAAAACAGCAGCTAAAAGATTGTAACATGTGAAGAAAATTGTTATGCAAAGCAGCAAAATAATTTCAATTTTCAATTTCATAACTGTTTTGCTTTTCGTCGCCATGCTTGTTTAGATTGTTGAGTCCTCTTAACTACTTTTTTTTAGCTCTATCCGCCTTTTAAGATAAATTACTTGATAAACTGCTTTGTGGCAGTTATTTTACTCAATCACTTCCCAATGGTAGGTTCCGAATTCATTTAGATAATGAACTAATTCTATGTTTATATTTCAGGGAAGATCTGATACAACTAATATGAATATTGCCAGGAGATAGAATCAAAATCGAAATAAGTTTTTATGACAGCTAAAGTATTAAATTATTGAATCAAAAGGAATATCCCTCGGATAATGAATCACCTGTTCTTGAGCTCATGGGTACCTGAGTATATCACCAGGGTTGGGGGTTTGGGATCTTAACCTCTGTAACGTCAGGTATCAAAGAAATTTTCTTTAATAAAAATGGATTATTTCATGAATAGATTCTTATTAGAACACTCAATCCACTAAAAAATTAAGACATTCATATGAATATAAAATGAGAAGTGTAGTTTGATTTGATCATCCAGTTCACAACTGGAGACTGTATTGTATAGTAGGTGGAGCTGATATGTTAACTGAAAGAACACAAGGAGATCTACAGAGAAATTGAGGAAATTAATGTTCGTTGTATGCAAATTACGGACAGCTGTCTTAATGGATCAACATGCATTAGGTAACAAAGCCCCACAAGTTTTTCCATTTAATCTAAAAGCCTAAAAATGTGGATTGAATTTGAGAGAAAACAATGAAAGTTACCGGTCTCAAAGTTGGAGGAGATAGAATATGTAGGAGTCGTGAAATAAGATCCTCTACCAAATATTCAACTGATAGATGCCTTGAAATAGATGGTGAGATTTTGTTGTGCCAAATTCTCATTGCATCTTTCCTTTCCAGAAGCATTGCCCGGCATCTGAAAAATCATGGCCTATAGAAATTAGTGCTGACATCTACTTTAAAAAACAAATTAGTCCTAATAAAATAAAAAATTGGATGAACAGTGAAATAAATGGATTTTACTTTTGCAGGGACTTTGGCCATTCAATATTTGGCTTCTCAAATTGTGCTATCAGGTTTCTAATACTTATCACGGCAGGAGGTTGATAGGCTGCAAATTAACAGTTTTAACAACATCAAAGAAGTGAGGAGGGGGGGGGGGACCAAAAGAGGAAATGCAAACTTAAGATAAAGAACATGATTTTACCATAGAAAGACATCTGTTGAGTTCGTATGATATACTTAAGTAGAGTATCAGAAACGCCAATTGTATCAAGGCACCTAACCTTCAAGTCAACAAAAACGTTAAATTTCTTACTGTCAAACATGCTAATGCAAAAAGGTTAAATCCGCAGCAAAACAATAGCTGGGACCAGGTCACAGTAAACTCAACTGTTTTTTGCATCATTGGATCGTGATAAGAGAGGCGTAAGAAATTTTCATGAATTCCATCCATCGTCAATTCATATTCACCACTGTCAGGTCAGCATGTGATGGAAATATTATTTGAGGGAAGCTTCTAAGAAAAATTTCAGAGCATTGCTAGAGTCTTTTGACACTATCTTACCGATTAGAGATAATGGAGTATAGGAATTCAAAATCCCCACGACCACTTGAGTCACTCATGGAATTCCTCCGTCTCTTTGATTTTCTCTTTTGGAAGATCTACAAAGTATAATAGAATAAATTTTCTCAAATAAGATTCAAGTATAATGCCAGTAGATTGGCAGGACTAACTCTTACCTCCTTCCATACATCAAATGCACTCCTTGACATGTCCTTCTGGCCAACTACTTGAGAATCTAGCTCCAACTGAAAATTGATAAGGCTTTTCAAATGGACTACATAGGACATACAAATAATTTTGATAACATAGAAAAATTAATGCTCTCAACTTACAAAATTCAGGGTTTCTTTCTTCTTATTTAGAAACTGAAGGGTGTTTAAGCATGAGCGAATGTCACATTCTGCAGAATGTACAGATAAAGCAAATTACGATTAAATATAAGAATCTTAATAGGATGGAAACAGCAGATGAGAAATACTAAATGGCTTCAAAACAACAGAACAGGCATGTTGAGAGACTCAATTTTATGTACACACTGAAAAATTATCATAAATGAAATGCTTAAGTTATCAATGCATCGTGAATAAACAAGAATAGGATGATGTTACATGTTATATATTGAAGAAAACATGTGCGAGGGAGGTATTGTAAAATGCACATATGGAAGCAAATCATTGAAGACTTACAGGAGGAACATTGATGGATCGTTACATTGCACAGGTTGCAAGTAAATGTTCCTTAAGTGTTGCTGTGTAAGATAAAATATACAGGGCTAAAACATTATTGCCCTCTGATGAGATATTCATTCTGATCAAAATTGTTAAACATATCCTTCTTCCATATGAATAATCATGCTGTCAGTACTCTATACGACAATAAATTAATTGATCTATTTCCTTTTCTTTCCTTTGGTACAGTTACGGAGTTTCAGCAAGACAACGAAGGAAACCATCATATACAAAATAAATTCAATTGTTAGATTAAACCAAGAACCACAGCATCAGCTATTGGAGCTAAAAGAACCACAAACCTAGAGAACTGACTAGGAATTGTCAACGCGTTTGAGGTCAATTCTCAGAAAATTGAACCATGCAAGAAAGTTTCATATTTGGGATAAATTGTAAAATTGCGTCTGAGGAAGATTTCTGATTTGTCATATGACCTGTTCAAGGTGTAATATAGATGAAAACTAAGTCCTAGCTGGTAAATGTCAGGGGAAAAAACATCACAATGATCAATACACTCCAAAAAACCATAGTAATTATCGGTAGAAAGGCACAGAACTAGTCACCAGTAAATTCAGCTAATGCAGAAAGTGCAACGGAGCTCGTCTTGAATCCTTCTTTTTTGCAGATATATTTAAGCCTGCCAGGAAGAAATTTCATTTATGAGGAACATGCTCAAAAGCAAAAATCACTCAAAGAAAAATATTTTACTAACATAATAAGATCAAGATAGCAAATGGATAAACACCAAGAACCGAGAATTCAAGCCATAGTCTATTTTCAATTGCATTTACCTGTTCACAACCCGACTAGTTGTCGGCTGCACGAAAATATGTACCCTGTAAAATGAATAAAATACTTAATGTCAACAGCTTGTATTAGTCAACAAAACACAGTGTTTACATTATACCAAATTATTTCTTTATTGAAAATCTAGAGTTCCAAGTAAAAAAAGAAATAGTTGAAAGTTTATTAAACCAGCCATTATAACGTATAAAAGAACTCACTTGGCTACTTGACGCAATGACCTCAAAGCTGGTGCATAAAGGTCGTTGCATATGCAAATTATCTTCAGATAATAATATGAATTATCAGAATGGAAATAAAAAAAGTGGGTGAAAATGGAAGAATCAGTCATTTGGATCCTTACAGGCCGCAACAATGTGGCAGTATTTCGTTGTTTACCCTTTTTCAAGGGAACCTTTCCTGGTTGAGTTTCCAGGGGAAAATCTTCCTTTTCAGAAGAGGATTTTCTTTCAGCTGCCACCTACTTGAGCCAGCCAAAGTCAATAACAAAAAAAATACTCAATGCCAAGTACTGTAGAAAGTATAGCTGTTTTAAACTAAATATTTTCTCAGCAAACTGCACGAGAACTGTAGAACCTAATATAGCATGCATGGAACTGCAGCAGAGTATAGACCTTTGGCTCATCATATTGTTGAAGGTTCGAAACTCTTTCGATAAGACTTATTCTACTAGAATTGTATTGAAACCTAGCTTCCTTTATATTTTATAGTGACAAAGAAGCAGCAATCAACATCACAAATAGGATATTGAGATTCATATTCACTTTATCCAAGAAAGATTTGATTCCAATGAATTATGTCCATTGTATGTTCCCCACGGAAAACCACTTGCTAATATCTCATCGAAGGTGTTGATAGACCTCCATTTCAAAGGTATAGAGACATATGAGACATATATGCTAAGTGTGAGAGCAAGTGTACAGAATAATATTTTCCAGACTATATAATATAATAAAATTGAGAGGCTTAAACATAAATGTGTAAAGTATTTATATGTAAATTTGATGTCATATGATATATATTCAAGAACAGCCCTATGCAAGAATTATTTGTTTTTTTTTCCAGTGGTCGTTCCCATTTCTTTTACACGACTTTCTTCTCTCTTTTCAACACTTCCAATATCTGAACCACTACTCACCTGATAGGTCTCTGTTAGAGCTATTCATAGATTTATACACAAACCATAGGTTTCATAAGAACTCATGTAACCTGGTACAGATGAATAATACTTTCGCCCATTGAAAAGAAAAGGATATTACCATTTTCAGCACCACTTCCACAGCACCCTTCCCTTCACTAAGTGCACCATCTATTTCATCAATCACCTGTACAAAATTAATAAAATTGTATAAATCAAGAAAGAAACAGTTAGACTTACAAAAGTAAACTCACCAAGCATTTGGGCTTGGAATTAGCCATGACGGAGTTCATCTGCACCACATCTAGGATCTTCGACTCAATTGTTGAAGATGAGCGCTCATCACTTGCATTTATCTACAAAGGCAGAAGTCTTACTTGCTTTGTGCTTTTTAAACGACTTAGTTGGAGTAGGTTAAATACGCACAGCCAAATGATTTAGCAGTGAAGTTGAACAACTAATAGACACAAAGTTATGCATCCACAAGTAATATTTGCCTTTGATTACCTCCATCAGTAACTAACATATAAAGTTGTTCTAGTATCTTTCATTTATCATGTATAGATTCCAAGTGGATGTGAGCATAAAAACATGTATATTAGTACATGAAAGCAATATGCCAAATGTGCAGGGTAAAACACCATTTCCTGGACTATATGAATTAGACTTGACACCAAATGCATCCCAGTTGTACAGCACAAATAGTTGCTGCTCAAAGAGTTTGCTATGTTCTCTTTCCTCTCCCCCTAAATCTAACCCTCAAACCCCACATCGCCAGCTGCAATTCAAAAGAACAAAAATCCTTCACACAAAAGAATACAAGGGCTCCAATGAGGGGCAAATTAATTAAGATATTAAGTCGTTTTGTTTAATTCATTCATCCAATTGCACGCAGATAGAGGCAGGATCCAAAAAGAAAAAAAAACATCACACAAGTTGAAAACAAAATGAAAAACTGGAATATCCTTGTTGATATATCTGTTAGTGCTTTTACAAAACCAGAAGTTACTACACAAACAATAAGGACATCTACTTTTTCCTCCGAAGGAAAATGCATCATCGAAAATATGGTACCTTCACGTCTGGACTCTTTTATCAACTTAATATCTTAACTGTTCTTGAGTCTACTTGAAGGGTTGCTTCTGGTTGCATGAGCTTAAACTGCATGACTAATAGCTATGTCCTACATATCAACTAGTTATCAAGGTTATATGGTTGTCCCTTGTTAGTGTTTGCACATAGTTACCAGGCACTTGTCGCTTACTTATTGAGTTATTGTGGATGGTTAAGTCTAAAGAAGGCCTAAGGAATTGCATACTGTTTAAAAAGCAACAACACCTTTTCAGCCTGTGCAAACGTATGCTTAAATTTTTTTATGCATCATACTTTACATGAAATCTGGAGGATATGCTCTTTCTTTTATGGTAAAATCTACACTGTCCAGCAAATTTTGTCATAAGTAATGGTTCATCGTTTTATTTAGTATTTTAGCTGACCGAGAAAATCAGTATAAAGTCTCTGTGGCTGCTGAACATGAAATTATGATGAAAAAAAAAGAGCCCACATCCTGTGACTTGCATGTGACAAGCTCACCATGAAAAAGAAATAGTTTTTCCATCATAACTTGAAAATTATTTGTAGACAGAGATCACGCTGCCGGTATTGGAATTGGAACCTCTAGTGTGAATATCCTCTAAAGAAGGAAACTTAAAACCAATTCATAGACATTGGTGGAAGTATCTATGCTAGACAGGTAAAGTTTGTCTTTGCATTGGAAAAGAGAAAAAATAATCATATTTTGTAATATCTGAGGACAAACACAAAGGTTGAAAGTGATTAACCTCAACAACACAGTATCCACAATGCTTGGCGGCTACGTGTGCGAGTGTTGTCTTCCCAAGACCTGGTGGACCACACAGTAAAAGTACCTGTAAAATCCAAATAAATTGTGCTCCTGAAATGATTTACAAAAATCTGAACAGAAGACCAAATAGCCGGAAATGACTTACAAAAATCTGAACAGAAAATCAAATAATTGTTATGGGAAGGAAGGGGTGTATAGTTTTTACAAGCTTATACCAGGATGCTAAGGAGGTTGCTTGTTTCTTGTGGGCGCTACCAGCCAGTATCTGCCGTTGTCACAGCAGTTTAAATATCATTGGTGCATTCTTGAACAATTTATATTTCCATGCCTATCATTATCTCCATTCCTTTATTAGTTTAGAAAGGATAAAGATAGTCATTAGCCTAGATTTCAAGGGGATATCTTATTGCAAGATAAGATAATGAAGAAAGAAAATCAAAAGGTTATTCCTCCAACTCTTATTTTGGCACAAGGGGACTAAGATGACTACGTTTCACTTTGCAGGATAGTCTAACTAGGAAATCTGTTAGTATGGTGTAGCAGGTAGATTACCAAGACACATACACCAGTCTGAACTATTGCAGTATTTAATATTGGGTTCCCTAGTATTAATATTAACCAACATAATATATTTGATCCTCATACTATCATTTATCATGTCCCTTTTGGGCACTAGCAAGCGCATATGAATTCCACCGCTTGTATACACCAGTCTGAACTATTGCAGTATTTAATATTTGGGTTCCCTAGTATTAATATTAACCAACATAATATATTTGATCCTCATACTATCATTTATCATGTCCCTTTTGGGCACTAGCAAGCGCATATGAATTCCACTGCTTGTATTTCTCTACTCCTATGTCCCAAAAAGATAAAGCTCCGCAAGCAAGATATACAGATCTACAACATGTTAAAATTGAGGTAAGCCTCCTTCAAAAAGCAAGCTGTTTGCTTTACTGAACTACTTGCAGAATGAGACCGTAGAGCACTAAGTGCTGATAAAGGAGGAGCTGCTACAGTGATAAATCTTTAAAAGAGCAAATCTGCACATATTTCTTGACAAATTACTGAATGAGGCTGTAGAGAATACTAACAAGTGGTGATAAAGGAGAGGATTGCTACAGTATTAAAATCCTAAAAAGAGCAAATCTGCACATGTTTCTACAGTAGTAAGCCTCCTTCATAAAGCGAGCTGATTGCTTTACTGAACTACTTGGTGAATGAGGCCATAAAGAGTACTAACTGCTGATAAAGGAGAGGATTGCTACAGTGTTAAAATCCTAGAAAGAGTAAATCTGGAGTCCGCATCGCCTCAGAACAAATCTGCATATGTTTCCCGACAAATTGTGCAGCCAAGAAAGTAATGACACTGAGTGAAAGCATGAGATTGTTAAGGTGATGTGTGTGGTACTAAAAGTTGGAGATCAATTGTACATCCCATAACATTGGCATCCCTAATTTGTTACATAAACGTGAATATACTAGCAGGTTAAAGTGAGTGTTAAAAAGTCTGAACAGGTGATAAATAAATATACTGCCCTCCCACCTTCTGCTCTGGGTGACAACTGAGTGTTTGTGTTTTGCTCCGTAATTCAGAAACACCACTTAAGTTGTTGTATTCTCTTTCTGTAAAATTCGAATGCTTATGTCTTTGATTGATAGATGAAGTTGCATGCTGCTTGCTGAAGAATTTATTATCAGCAAGCATTTGATGATGAGCAGAAGAATGGCGCCTTAAAGCCGAAAAAACATCATCTGTGGTAGCCCTGATTTTAGATCCAAATACACAAGGATCCCACTGTTTCAACCATAAAAGTACCTTCACGAAACAGCAAACAAAAAGTCAAATAAGCTCACACATTTCAAAACAAAGAAGCTCTAGTAGTAGAAGTATAAATTGATTATACCTCCCGATTTGTCTGTTCATCACTAAGAAGCTCTGTAAAAGAATTTGGAGCATATTTATCTACCCAAAGCTGCTCTGTCACTACAGGAATTGCTGTATGTTTCGTCTGACCTGGTGACCCAGAACTTTCTTGCAAAGCCTTCAGCAACATAATAATGACAACTTAAAGATGCAGGTTAAAATGTATTAAAAACGCTAACAGAGAGATAATAGATTTGCATTATAATGCCTTTGAGAATCATTTGATACTAGTAAGTATGATACTTGACATAAGGACTCATTTTTTAGAGCATATTTATAAGTAATCCTTTGGCAATGGACATGAATATAATAAACTTTTTGCAATGCTTTATGAAGTATAGACACATTTAGTGGCAACAGAGATTAGATAGTACACGAATTAGATAGTTCGCAAGCACATATTGGTCAAAATTATGGCAATACAGATGTGATATTGAATTGTAGAAGGGGTACATAAAGGTCTTTAACATCTAAAGCACAATTTTCTTGTAAATAGCACTCTAATACCTAAAAACTTAATCGCCTTGCACTAAAAAAGCTTAATATATTTTTTCAGAACTTTAAATCTTATAATATTGTTGTTTGCACTATTGTACCTCCACAAACTTGCTATCAAAATTAGCTTGGGAGTATTTATATATAAGTAATATGTGACTACATTGAAACAATTATACTCCTGAACTTAAAAAACCACAGCATACGGGGTTTGTTAGATAATTTTTTTTAATACTAGTGGGTCCCACAAACCTTTTAGCCTAACTTCTTTTGAAATATGAGAGGACGGTGCAGACATCTTTGAAATTAATAAACAGTAAAATAAACGTGATTAACTTTTTTGCAAGGATTCAACATCTGCCTAATTTATTTTGAAAAACAAGTAATGTGGGCCCCACATGAATAGTAACTAATAATATTTTATTAGTGCATAGTATTTTTTCAAACGCTATAAATAGACCTCAAATCCTTAAGGAAAATTCATTCCAAAAACAACAATCAATATATACAGATATATATTGTAGAATAGCTAGTGCTAGTAGGAACAGTGCCTAGACCGAGAAGGTCTTACAGATCGAGGAGATCTTTGCCTGAGGAGATCGAGGAGATCTTTTGCCTGATAGATCGAGGAGATCTTTGCCTTACAGATCGAGGAGATCTTGATAGTACTGGGTTGGTGCACACCAGAGTACTGGACTGCTGTTCCTGGAAGCAATTTGGCCTTGTGATCCTTGCACCGGAGTAGGCCAAATAATGCTTTAAGCACAGCGTTTTACAAACGCACAGCAGCTGAGTTGAAAAAATTTAAATTATTGTACTTCAGCTTTCTTTTAGTTATTAGCTGCTATATATCTGTATTATTCCAGTTTTAACCACAGGCGCCAACAATCTTAAAGCATTATTTTGATCTACCATGGATCCTGCGAGCTGCCTAGCCGATCATCTGGCAGATGCTTACACCAACAAGCCCTCTGCAAAGGAAATCTGGAATGCTCTGGAGGACCAGTACAAGGATGAGGAGAAGCTGTCCAAATCTCACCTCATTGACAAATTTCTGGACTTGAAGTTCGAAGATGATACTGAGGTTTTACCTCAAGTCAAAGAGCTTGAAAAGCTTGTTATGAAGCTGAAGGATGAAAAGATCAGTCTTTGTCAAACCTTCATCTCTGGTGCAATTGTCAACAAGCTTCCTCCATCTTGGATGTCATTCTCCACTGATATTTGAAGAAGGAAAAGACAGGTAACTCTGTCTGACTTAAAGAGGTTCATTCGGATCGAGGACGAGACTCGGACTCGCACGAAGACCGAGCTCATTGCTAAGCAGAAGGCGTCTGCTAACATGGTGACTGCTAACTCTGAAAAGGGTAATAATTCATCTTTCAAGAAAAAGAAGTCTTTCAACAGAAAGAAGAACCAGAACCCAAAGAACCTGAACGTTCAGAAGAAGGAATTCAAGAGGAGCGGCAAATGCTTCAACTGTGGAAAGCAAGGACATTTTGCCAAAGACTGGAAAGCACCAAAGAAGGAAACAACACACAATGTCAATCAAGTTAATGATTGTGTGGCTATGCTCTTCCAGGTAATAACTCCAAGCAACATCTCTAGTTGGTGGTTAGATACGGGTGCTACTTGTCATGTATGCTCCAATAGAGATATGTTCTCTTCTTATGTTGCTACTAAAGAGAACGTATCAATGGTTGATCGTTCTATGGTTCCTGTTATTGGAACTGGGACTGTGGTGCTGACTCTTTCTTCGGGAAAGACTCTCACATTGAAGGATGTGAAACACGTTCCCTCAATTGCCAAAAACTTAGTCTTTGGAAGCATGTTGTGTGATGCAGGCATGAGGCTGGATTTCCAAGGAGGAAAGGTTGTATTATCCTTCAAGAAAATGTATTTTGGCAATGCATATCGTACTGATGGCATGTGTAAAATCAGTACGAGTGCACCCAATCCTGTTGTAAATGAAGTATCCTCTTTTGCTTACTCCTCTGTGTTATGGCATAATAGGCTGGGACATGTAAATTATAGAAAACTGTCCAGCATGGAGAAGTTAGGATTACTTCCAAAATGTGGGGGTAACAAACCTGAGAAGTGTGAAGTTTGCGCGCAAGCAAAGCTGACAAGGAAGCCATTTTCAAGTGTTACGAGGAGCACCAACCTGTTGGATCTGATTCATTCGGATACTTGTGACTTCAAAAGCTTCGTCACTCGTGGCGGCAAGAAGTACTTCATCACCTTCATCGACGACCATTCTCGCTTCTGCCACGTTTACCTGCTAAAATCTAAAGATGAAGCCTTCAGCAAGTTTGTCGAGTTTCGGACTCGAGTGGAGAAGCAGCTTGGACTGCAGGTGAAAAGACTCAGGAGCGACAGAGGAGGAGAATACCGATCCAAGGAATCGGAAGCATACTTCAAGGAGCATGGAATCATTGCAGAAACTACTGCTCCGTATTCTCCGCAATCTAACGGGATTGCAGAAAGGAAGAATCGCACATTGACCGAGATGGTAAATTCGATGTTGTTCACATCTGGTCTACCTACCTACTATTGGGGAGAGGCTTTGTTGATGGCTAACTGGATTTTGAACAGAGTACCCTACTCCAAAACTGATAATACTCCTCATCAGTTATGGTTGGGATATCCAGATTCTTTGGATAATCTCAAAGTGTGGGGGTGTCTCGCATATGTTCGAATTTCTTGGTTTTGCTGAAGATAATGATGCTTGCAGGTTCCTTAATCTTGGAATCAACTCCATCATTGAAGCTCGGGATGCAGAATTCTTTGAGGATAAGTTTATCAAACATAAAGGCTTATTGCTCAAAGATGTAGCAGAGAATGCTAGTACATCAGATGCACAAGAGGAGCCAGTCAATGATGAAGTTGTTATCGAACCATCTTCCAAGCGCGTTAGAAGACAGAAAGATTTTGGAGATGACTTCATCACCTATAATGTGGAAGGAGATCCACAGACTTTTCAAGAAGCAATGCAGTCAACAGACGTTCTTCTGTGGAAAGAAGCTATAGATGATGAGATGGATTCATTGATCCAAAATCACACTTGGGAGCTGGTGGATGTACCTGAAGGTGCAAGGCCTATCAGTTGCAAGTGGATCTTCAAGAAGAAGATTCGTCCTGATGGTACTATTGAAAAGTACAAAGCAAGACTGGTGGCGAAAGGATTCTCTCAGAAAGAAGATATAGATTTCTTTGATATCTATGCACCGGTTTGCAGGATCACTACCATCAGAGTGCTTATCGCATGGGCGACGATAAAATCACAGAAGAGATCTACATGGAGAAACCAGAAGGACTTGATGCTCCAGCTGGTAAGGTTTGTAAACTTGTTAAGTCTTTATATGGACTTAAGCAGGCACCAAAACTCTGACATGAGAAGTTCGATGGGGTTGTTCGCAACAATGGGTATCAAGTCAGTGAATCTGACAAGTGCCTATACATCAAAGTCGCTGAAGGAAAGGTGGTGGTCATCTGCCTCTATGTGGATGATATGCTCATCATCGGGAGTGATTTGGAGATAGTAACATCTACCAAGAAATTTCTCTCGGCACAGTTCAGCATGAAGGACCTTGGAACTGCGGACGTGATTCTCGGAATCAAAATCATATACTCTGAAGAGGGTATTGGATTGTCTCAATCTCATTATGTCGAAAGCATGCTAAGAAAGTATGGCTACTACGACCTGCCAGAACTGCCAGTGCCGTATGATTACAACAAGAAGCTTCGACCAAACACTGGAAGACCAGTAGAGCAGCTGAGGTACTCAAAGATCATTGGGAGTCTCATGTACGCGATGAGTTGCACAAGGCCAGATATAGCATTCGCTGTAGGAATGCTTAGTAGGTTCACAAGTAATCCTGGAAAGCTTCATTGGGATGCCATCCAGAGATTGATGAGATACTTGAAAGGAACTACAGGTCTGAGCTTATTCTACACTGGATATCTGGGTGTAATCGAAGGCTATTCAGATGCGAGCTGGTGCTCAGAACCAGATGAGTGCAGATCTACTGGAGGATTCGTCTTCACCATGGGTGGAGCTGCCGTCTCGTGGAAGTCTAAGAAGCAGACCATGATTGCACAGTCATCGATGGAATCTGAATTCTTCGTACTCTGTGTTGCAGGAGATGAAGCTGAGTGGCTCAGTTGTATTCTCCGAGACCTTCCATTGACAGGATTGCAAGGCGCAATTACTATCTATTGTGATAATCAGGCGGCGAGTGCTGTGGCAGCAAACTCGTTGTTCAATGGAAAAAAGCGGACCATTCGTCTGAAGCATAGCTATTTGAGAGAGCTCATTTGTCAAGGAGTCATCTCCGTGATTGACGTTCGATCTTCAGCGAATGTGGCTGATCCTTTGACTAAGGGTCTGAAAAAGGACATAGTTGAAAGGACGTCTGCTGGAATGGATCTCAAAGTTTTGTAAGTCTTACAAATACTTACCATGTTTATTAAGTTATTAGTTCAAAGCTTATGCTACTAATAATAAAATAATTGGTTCAAAAGTCAAGTAAGATTTGTAAAGTTTGGTGAGTCTTATAAATACTTACCATTTATATCTAGTTATTAGTTCAAAGCTTATGCTACTAATGACAAGATAAATGGTTCAAAAGTCAAGTAAGATTTACAAGTGAAAGGGTTCAAGTTTTCTTGGATTAGTCGGTGTCTAAGGTAAGGTTTAGGGGTTGCGTAACGCGCTCTGCAAGGAACGATGTACTTAATTGATCTTTGATCAACCTCTAATACTATCCTTACCTGGCTGAACTACCCGAGTAAAACTTTGATCTTTTCACCTAAAATCCTATCATGTAAAGGGGATGGCTGTTAAGCCTTAATGAGTCCAAAGCATTTCGGATATGGGGTGTTAGATAGGAAACACACCTAAAGGACTCACCTAGAATCCTATCATGAGAAATGGTGGCTCTTAAGCCTTAATGAGTTCAAAGCATTTCGGATGCGGGATATTTGATAGGAAACATGCCTAAAGAACTCACCTATGCATGGGTGAAGATTTGACCGTCTCCTATGGTATCTTGTGGAAAGATACCTAGAGCCCTAGCAGAAACCAGGACATGCACAGGGCCATAAATGTGCAAAGGCAAGGCAATGGCAAAGGCAAGTGTGGTTCAAAGTGAAAACTACCACAGATAAGTTTGATTTTGTGTGATCGCTGGATTTTTAGACGTGTTGGTTCAAGTCTCTGCCACACCATGCACCTATCTTTTATTCAGTTGGTCTAATGAAGATTCAAGTCCTTGCGACATCTTCCTTACGCACAATGATTGAAACAACGACACTATTACATGACACTAGTTTTAAAAAAAACTTGTGGGGGATTGTTAGATAATTTTTTTTAATACTAGTGGGTCCCACAAACCTTTTAGCCTAACTTCTTTTGAAATATGAGAGGACGGTGCAGACATCTTTGAAATTAATGAACAGTAAAATAAACGTGATTAACTTTTTTGCAAGGATTCAACATCTGCCTAATTTATTTTGAAAAACAAGTAATGTGGGCCCCACATGAATAGTAACTAATAATATTTTATTAGTGCATAGTATTTTTTCAAACGCTATAAATAAACCTCAAATCCTTAAGGAAAATTCATTCCAAAAACAACAATCAATATATACAGATATATATTGTAGAATAGCTAGTGCTAGTAGGAACAGTGCCTAGACCGAGAAGGTCTTACAGATCGAGGAGATCTTTGCCTGAGGAGATCGAGGAGATCTTTTGCCTGATAAATCGAGGAGATCTTTGCCTTACAGATCGAGGAGATCTTGACAGTACTGGGTTGGTGCACACCAGAGTACTGGACTGCTGTTCCTGGAAGCAATTTGGCCTTGGGATCTTTGCACCGGAGTAGGCCAAATAATGCTTTAAGCACAGCGTTTTACAAACGCACAGCAGCTGAGTTGAAAAAATTTAAATTATTGTACTTCAACTTTCTTTCAGTTATTAGCTGCTATATATCTGTATTATTCCAGTTTTAACCACAGGCGCCAACAGGGTTTACCATCTCTGCATCTTTCTTACTTGCCACCACATTCAACTTCGATGGTTCAACCTCCGTCTTTTCCTTCCCTGCCATCATATTCATTATGTGTTTTCCCTTTGTCTCCAAGACAGACCCAGGCTGAAATGGGATTTGAACTTTTTGGAGCTGAAGATTATGTGGTGGGGCAAATTAGCTAGAAGATCGGGGAAAAGGTTTTTGGTCATAGGAAGAGCAGGGAGGAAATGGAGTGGGTTGGACAGAGGAAGAGTAGAGAGGACATGGGGAGGCTGAGGAGTTGACAGAGTAAAAGTAAGGGGAGATAAGGTAGAGGCTGAGGGTGGAGTGGATAGGTGAGTATCAGGTGGCAATCGCAATAGGAGGAGAGGAAAGAGAGAGGAAAGTTGATCTAAGCTGTTTTTCTTTTTAACAGAAAGAATATATTTGGTCCTTTTGCATTTGACATTAGCCGTGCGCTAGGTCATATATATATATATATATGGTATTAACAGTGTTGGAAAAAACAGATTGGCATGTTTTTGGCAATGTTCGTGAAACTTTAAATATTAAATAATAATTTATCTTATAATTTTTTACTCCTCTTTTATGCAAATAAAAGCACTACTAGCTCGTTTGGAAACTTGGACCTTGTTCAAGACCTCTTGTTCCACTCCATTGATCAAGGCATGAATAGGTTCCTGAAGAAGACCTGCATGAGAAAGTATCGTGCCCCAATCAACTTCAAGACTTTCCATTTATTGATGAACATTGTCACGCAATTTAATAGTACAGTATACAATCAGATTAATAACTATTGAATCACTTTACTTTCCTATAAAAAATGAAATGTGAAAGGGAAAGGGAAACAAAATAGGTAACTCATTCAAGATCCTAGGTGTCTTAATATATGGTAAAGTAATCTCCCAAAATAATGAACTCATGATCCATAATACTGTTGTAGTAGAAGGGTCCTCTTATGTCCAACTAAAATCAATTTGTGAATTGTGTGATATAGACTTAGGATTTAAATGTGTGTCCGTGTGAACAAAGCATCAAAAAAAGTGATGTTTATGATGTACATGTGGAGCCATGTATCAGCATTATACATGCTCGAGGACACCGTAATCGATAAGGTAGAGAATTTTAGGCAACTACATCATTTATCTCTGAAGTTACTGCAGTAACTGGCTTAACAATAACATACCTTAGCTACACATGACACGACGGGGTATTATGGGGAGCATTCTGATTTTGAGATGACAGACTAGCAGGATATGTGGTGAATACAGTGATATTGGAGACTACTTGTGACCCATCTTGCATTCAGCTTATCTTTTTGTTCTTTTTCTCTCTGGGTTCCATTTTCTTCTCTATCCAACATCAACTAGGGCAGTAGCTAAGCTGACATCCTACAGTTTAGCTCAAAAAATTTTAGATTTGTCTCAAATCCCTAGTCAAAAAGAAAACCTCTGCAAACCATCTTGCAGTCAGATGTAAGCTCATGTACAGTTTGATAGTTCTTTCTGGTCCTCACATGTAAACACAAAGACCTTCACTGCACAGTGGTGATTTCTAGCACGTAGCATTGACATCTAGATTTTCCTATAAAAAAAACGCTGACATCTTGATCAACGCTCATTATTTTCATATAAATCAACAATTTTGACATGGTAATTTACTACAATAACATGATATTAAATTAATATGATATTGATGCACAAGATGCATGTTTTAATCAAAAGCTTCCCTATCAAAGACAATATAAATAGCAGAACAGTTATTCCTCCGGTCTCTAACATCAATATCATGAAACTCTAGTAAGTAAGAATTAGAGAATAAGAGCATGCCCACCAACCATTTGCAGATTTGTCTCTGGGAATCTTCCTCCTCTGGGCTTCATCCACCTCGCGCGAGCTGATCTTAGCATAGACTCTATCACCGTTTGGGGCTGTAATCGGCACGCACTCCCCCTCGATATCAGAAACAAACCTCGATATGATCTTCTCCTCATCAGATCCAGTTGTCGTTTCATCAGCCGCCGGGGCCGCTTCCTTCGGCGGAGGAGAGTATCGAAGCCAGTCTTCGTCTTCTCCCTCATCGATCTCTCTTCTCTTGACCCCTCTCTCCTCATCGTCGACTCCATCGTCATCTTTGTCCTCCGATCGCCCGCGCTTCTTGTGGATCTCGTTCTCAGAGGCCGCATCTCGATCTGCGTGAAGAAGAAAAAAAGAATCACAACGTGATCGATAGAGGATTTTACGTTGAGTATCTGTGAATTTACCGCGATCAGCCTCTCTTAATCCAGCGATTCTTTCGTCTTCTTCAACGACGATGTAATCCTCTTCATCGTCTTCGAATTCGGGAAGAAGAGAGTTGCTTTCGAGCCATTCGAGCTCGTCGGCAGCTGGAATGTCCATTTCGAAGTCCGCTTTAGCTTTTGTTGATGCCCTAATCACTAAACCCTAGTTAGCGATGGAAAAAGAGGATAGCAAAAGGGGGAAGACTGAGGATTTTGGCGGGAAACTTTGGGGACGGATCGGTAATTTTTAGATTCTTTCGCTGCCGAAGAATTTCGGGTCCGCAACTTGTAGGCTTCTTTTTTTATTTTTTACTAGTTTCAGGCCCGTGCGATGCACGGATTTGTTTAATATACAAAAATTAATGTAGCAAAATAATACAAACAGTTCAAACAGTTTACGAAGCTTTCAAACAGTTTACGAAGCATCTTGTTTGGAAAATTGAAAAGACAGGGAGAGTTCAAATCTCAAGGAGAACTTTTTATTTTTTATTTTTTATTTCAAATTTAATATGGAGAACTTTTGTAGAAACTTGACAAGTGGCACTTGCAAGAAGATAGCAATTGATATGTTTGCCAAGTGTCGTTTAAAATGGTATGGGTTATTTTTGCCAAGTGGCATTTTTGCCAAGTGGCGAATTGAAGGGTAACAACTTTTAGTAATAGTATATAGATTTTTACCTCCCAAACAAAAAGGGGCGAATATTGACAAGGGCCCGCATAACTGCTTGTTGAATGGGTGGGTTGGGCCGGTTGGTTTAAGAAGAAAGGGCTGCTGGATTAATTGCTAGGGTAACTTACACGAAACCCCCATAACTTTCTAGTGTTTTGCAATAAACCCCATGACTTTCAAAATCACACTTAACCCCGTGAACTTCTTGGAACTGCAGAAACTCACCCATGAACTTTTTGAGTTTTGTAGATAACCCTCATACATTAGAACCGAGAAACAACAAAAAAAGACATTTAGACAATTCATGGGAGTTTAGAGTAATATACATTAAAATTTGTGGGAGTTTTCTACAAAAATTATTAGGGTTTTAGCGTGCTTTTGATAGTTCATGAGGATTTACTATAATACACTAAAAGTTCATGGGGGTTTAGTGTACTTTACCCTAACTACTAAACTAAAACGGATACATGGTAAAGAAAATGGTTGGTCCGATTGTTCTTGGCAGAACTTGCTCAGTTGAAAGGGAAACTCCTATTCTGGGAGCGTGGCTTTGATTTATTATTATCATTATGTTGTATTAACATTAGGAGTTTGAGCCTCATCACACTAAATAAGTTTATATTCTACGCCAACCAACTACGAGATTAGGCTAGGTGTATGAGTTTTGATTTCTCTGTGTGTAGTCTTCTATTGTTACAAGCTAATAAAGAAGAGAGTTCAGGGATAGCATGAGAGGGTACATGGTTTCACAGTATTTATGACCCTCGGTTTTTCTCCGTCGAGGGTTTTCAATGTTAAATGCCTATGTGTGGTTCCTTTATTGTGTATTGGGTATTTGAAATTATTTGCTAGTTCTAAAAAGCACAACACGTTCCTATAATCGAAACTACCGTGCATGATGTGCATCGGATTCAAGTTTATAGTTGAGTTTGATTCAAGTGTATGGTTGAGTTTTACTAATTTACTTTCTAACCCAACGAAAGTTGAGTATGTAATCAAATCGATCCGGACTGCTAAATTTGTTCCGTTCGAGACAGTTTAGTCAGTTGAAGCGATTAGTGCTAAATCCCACCTAAATATCATATCAAACTTAGATAGATCTAGTGCAAGTTTATTACACCACTATTAGTTAATTAATATAGTTAGTGTGCTTCTATGCCCGCAACGGTTCAATACTCCAACCTCTTCCCTGGTTATTATTAGTCCCACATCGGTCAGAGTGAGGACTGGCAGGGAGCGAGGGCACTGTAAATTGGGGCCTCGGCGCTCGGTTGAGAGCATCTTTGCGCTTGGGGCAATGACGCAGCTAATGAGGTATTAACCGAGGCGCGTCAATTGCTGGTTGAAAACTATTTCCAAACCCCCTCCTCGGCCCTTGGTTCAGCCTTGGGCCGTCGAGAATTTCTGGAAGGGCTCCCTCTAACCCAGGGTAAAGCCCTACAATTCTAACTTCTCTGAAACTTTCTAATTTATTCTCGTAAAAGAAAATTTCCAAATTTATTTTCGTATTAAAGAAAAAGGAATAGTGGTATATACTGGCAAAAAAAAATACTGGCCGGTTTTAAGGTATTTGTACTAGTGGCAGTGATGGATATATCATTTTTCTTATATGGTTGACAAAATAAAAAAAAAGTTAATTTAACAAAAGAGATTTTTTTTCCTTTTATTGTTTTTAAAACATTCTATTTGTATTCTACAATAAGCATAGATAAAGTTTATACAATTGAATATTCATTTTTTCTCTTTGTTTATAGTACTTTTTAATAGGTGTTTTTTCCCGCAAACATAGATGAAGTCTATATAATTTTTTTAATAAACAAAAGTCTATATGATTATATAAAGGTTAATAAAATAAATCAAGATACATATAAAAAATAACGAATCAAAACTTATTCAAGAACATCGTGGCCATAATATATTGACTCAAATAGTAAATGATTTGAGGTGGATTACAGGTTACCACTGTAGGTGACAAAAATTACCTATAGATTATCATATGTAGCCCAAGATAGAGAGAATGTGGTAAACATCATAATCTGAGTTGCAGAGGATCATCCAAAGCTAAAGATCAACTAAAGAATGCACAAAAAGTACATCACGCAAGTTTCAAGACGCAAAACATGTCTCAGAAGCATAAGAGTATTTCACAGTTTCGACGGTTACAACTGTCTCGGAAACTATGAGGAAACTTATAGCTTCCGAGACACATACAACTGTCTCAGAAGCATGAAGAGAACCCACAGTTTCCGAGACAGTTGCAACTGTCTCGGAAGCTATGAGGAAGATTATAGCTTCCAAGACACTTACAACTATCTCGGAAACTAAGGTGATACAGATAACGGTTTTCTCGAGATACGCGCATGACACGTTGCTCCATACCTGTCAGAGATTGTGTGGGAACGTGAGGAAGACGTTACAAGCGGAAATTACGTTAATAACTGTCGAAATAATGGCATTAAAAACGTGTTTAAAGCAGTTACAAAAGGAAAAAAATTTGAAGCATGCTTCCGAGACAATTGTAACTATCTCGGAAATGGGAAGCTGATCATGCTTCCGAGAAAGTTACAACTTTCTCGAAAATAGGAGCTCTTCGACGCACCTTCTTTTTAATTTCTGACTTCAATTATAGTTCCTAGGGGCTATAAATACCCCCTATGATCATCACTGACGAGGACGGGGTATTTTGAGGCAGATTAAGAAGAGGACGAAGCATTTTCAGAGCAGAGACTTAAGCAATTTTGTGAATTCCAAGCAAGAAAGAGAGAGTTTTCATCACGTGCAAGCATTTTTCATGGTTTTTGTGATTCATTGAGATCTAAGCTTTTGATTTGATCTTAAGAAGAGTGTTTATCTTACATCGATAAGATATTCACTTCATTTTCTTACTTCTAAACGAAACAAGAATTCCCAAATAGCATTTACGGTTCAATCTGGATTTTTTGATTCGGTGGTCCACGAGCTAACGTACCCCCGACACAGGCAAAGATCACACGCAAATAGTGATCCAAATAATCCTGCGTGTGTTTCTAAGGAACATTATAATTTGATTTTTTTTTTGTTGTAAATAGTTGTTTTACAAAGCACGAAACTTACTTTTCTGTATTCATTGTAATCGATAAACAATTATAATGAATTCTACAATAGAACTTGTTCCTGACACAAACAGTCACAATTTCAGATTTCCACGCTATTCGTCTCAAAAATAATTTTTTTTTCAATGTCATCTGTTAAATAAAACTTTACTCTTTTCATATAATTAATTTCCACGAAAAACATATGAAATTTTAAGCAATACACTGTTAAATAATGAGGTATCCTAGACGGAAAATTCCGTCTAGGATACCCAAATTTCCGTCTAGAATGCTTATTCTAGACGGAATTCCGTCTAGAATAGGCGTCTAGTATGTTTCCGTCTAGAATACTGTATTCTAGACGGAATTTCCGTCTAGAATACATCCTAGACGGAATATTCTAGACGGAAATCAAAACCGTCTAGAATACATCCTAGACGGATTATTCTAGACGGAAATGCCGTCTAGAATAATTCATCTTAGACGGAAAAAAATTCCGTCTAGAATAAGTATTCTAGACGGAAATTTCCGTCTAGAATACTTATTCTAGACGGAATTTGATGTTTTTAAATTTTCCATTTAACTAAATGGGTGGGTTTTGGGCGGGCCAAGTAATGGGCGGGCTAGGTGGGTAAATGGGTATGGGCAAAAATTGACTTCCCTATCATGACAGTACAATAGAAGAACTTACATGCAGAGACACAGATCCCATCCTCTCCATCCGCTTATTCAAAGTGGGCCTTAAATCAAATAACATTTGCTACTTATAATTAGGATCACAGTTGCAAACTACTTTTTGTTTACTAACAGCAACAAGCCTTACCTGAGTTATTATCTTACAGTATAAGCAATTAATTAGTTATGTTCTGCTTTTGAGCATATAGATCTTATATTTTCAGAAACGTTCACACTTATCTTTATACAAATTCCTTTATATCACCATTGTCTCCAGTTGAATCTGCAGAAAAGTACATTAAGGAATTGCCAATAAGGTAGCTGATGATATTAAACGACTTTTGTATGATCAGTTACCTATAATACTGATGATATAAGGTAGCTTGATATCGTTCCTAAAGATCTGGAAAATCTGCTCTACTCACTAGTTGTAGTGGCCTTGGCTGCTCTATTAGAAAACAATCAACAACAAATTAGGTGTAGTATTGACGCATACAAACTATAAGTTATATAGCTGTTTGGACTTTTGACTCAAATGCATCGAGTTATATTGTCTGGTCGGTTTGTTAGATGCAAGTGAAACTCTACAATCAAATATACTAAGTTATAGTGAGAAAAAAAAATCCTTGATTGCATATACTTCCTCACAAGTAGCCAAAAGAGGGAAGAACCAAAATTTTGTAGATTAACTACTGAATGAACAAAAGCCACAAAAAAAGGATTCAGAATTTTACTCACCTTGGCAAGCTGCAAGGCATTGTCATTTGCATACTGTAATGAACTTTCTCGTATGCTTTGGATGCCTTGACTGAGCTCCCAAGATATAAATCTAGGTTTAAAATGAACAGTCAGTTGAGATAAGTGAAATCAACAGCAGAAAAGCATCACTTTTGCGTCATTGAAATGAATTTTACTCACCTTGGCAAGCTGCAAGGCATTGTCATTTGCATACTGTAATGAACTTTCTCGTATGCTTTGGATGCCTTGACTGAGCTCCCAAGAACTTAGAGGCTTATCAATTACTAAGCCTCACATTTCATATATGATATCATAATTTATAATTGAGTAGTAAAGACCCAATACCTTAAGTATTCTGGTTTCCTCCTTTGGCTCCTTATCCGTTGTGATTGCTGGGCTTCTAGATAGCACTTTCCCAGTCTTGATCATTGATTTGGCAATCTACAAGTAGTTCAGTTTCTGCTGATAAAATGCATCGCCATGTAGGAAGAAATTGATATTTGAATTACTTAGGCATAGAGTTCTCTCACTTTCACTTTAGCAATCTACAAGTAGCTATGTTTCTGCCTACAAAATGCATCCCACATAGGAAAAGTTTATGACTTTCAATTATTTAGGCATACAGTTCTTTCAATTTGCTAACAAAATGACCTACATTGTTTCCAATCTAAATGAGCAGGCTCCATGCGAACATAACAAAGATTTAGATCTACATCTTAATTAATAAGTGCTAGATACCCAAACATTTTGATAAATTCAAATAACCAAAGAAGTATGTATAATTGAAAGGTGATTAAATCAAATATATTCAATCTAAATCTGACCTAATTAAGATTTTTGATCTAGATTCTATTAATCATCCACGAGCTAGAAACGTGGATAACGACTTGCCAGATATTGCTAAGTTTATTGCATACATTACATGTTACGAGCCCCATAATAAATAGAAGAGGATGAAGCTTCTTTGAGAACAGTCATCAGAACAATGACAAAAGATGTGATACGGTTAGTTATGTGAAGTAATTATAGTGTGAGCACATTTGTTTTGTTTGGGATAATTGTCAGCATAATTATTATATGATGAAATTAAAACTCTTGCTGGTCATTAAGACACTAGTTTCAGACCCATGCAAGGCACGGATTTGTCTCGTATCATAGCTTATCTAACATGGAAGAGTTAAGCCTTATCCAAATTGACAGACGTTGATCCTACAATATTAAACTAGACAAAACACAGGAGTTCACTACTGCACTCTTAGAGAAATGCTACTGCTTATTTGGTTTTGGAAATGATGGGAGCTTGATGCGCATTTCACAATAAGGAAAATGCAAGACCATAAAGAGTTTATAATGCATATGACATTTTGAATGGCATCACCATAATAGGTCTACAAAAAATAAAGAATTCAAGTGCTAACACATGCACAACATATCACTGGAAGGGCTATCAAATTAAAAGAGAAAGAAGGTGAACACAAAGAAGGAATATCTAGTAAGTATAACTTACAATGGACTATCACTTTGTCAGGAAGAGCTTTAATAAATTGGTTAGCTCCATATTGCCAGTCTGCAGTACTGCAACGAGGAGGTATACTTTTAAGACTTACAGCATTAAAGGTAAGTAAAGCAAAGAACTAGAACAATGCAAAATAAAATATGTACAACTTGCAAACAACAATCAAATTGAAGTGGCTATGTAAGCAGCAAAATACCCATTCTGAGATCCCACCTCAACTTTTGACAAATATTTTTAGCATAACTAATACTTACACAATTTGTAACTTCCGAGAATACTCATAGTACATCGCATGAAGCAAATGTGTCTTTGGGCATCTAATCTCAGTGACTATACATGAGAATATCATTTTCTCTACAAATCTTTTAATTGGCACTCATACATTATCAACCTCAAAGAAGATTATTTAACGCTTGTATATAATACTAGAACCAAATCAAGATACGTATAGAGATAAAGGGGATTAATAATTGTTGCACTCTAAGAACAAAAGTTTTAATAATTGAACTATTTTATATAAAGTAACTGTATTTTAACGATTTGATACTGTATCGCTCTGATTACTGTTTTAACACAATTTCAGCTAACATTGTCATTTCACAAAAATTTTCACAATCAACACCCCCAATTCGAGACCAAACTTCGATTACGCTACGAATTTAACAATTCGAACCTTGGAAAAATCCAAAAATTCCCAATCAAACCCCAATCTTTAAGCAAATTACACAATCAACACCCCAATTCGAGACCAAACTTCGATTACGCCACGAATTTAACAATTCGAACCCTGGAAAAGTTCAAAACTTTACCTTCCAAGGATTCCATGGGCCATCACAACGAGATGACCAGCACACGAGGCAGAATCGTCTGAAGAGCTCAGGACATCCGTACCGCCATTAACGGACTCCTCCGATCTCACTTCTTCGTCTCCCATAGAGATTAAAAATCGTAAAAAGAAAAGTAAAATTCACGATAAATTGAGCGCAGGCGAGAAGAAAGTGAATAAATAAATGAAAAGGATATCTAGGTGAGGAATAAATTTAGCTATGGCCGACGAAGACGACGACGCGGGTTTTGAGAGGGGAGGGCAGCGGAGGCCGGAGAGCTGGTGAGGGGATTCGACGGGGAAGAATGGTTTGCTGGTGTCCGACGCCATTATTAGGGTTTTAGGGTCTAGGGTTTGGTTGAGTTTTGGGAGTGAGTTTGAGGTTTTGGGAAGACAGAGAGAGAGAGACTTTGTTGCTTTTAAATGGCCAGATAAATTTGGGGGGAATGGAAAATATTTGGGGGGAACGGTTTTTACTGTTTTAATTTTATTTCTAAAAGTACATGAACATCCTAGACGGAAATTTCCGTCTAGGATGTATCCTAGACGGACATTTCTATCTAGGATACCTGATTATATTTAAAAAAAAATTAAATATATAAAAACCGTCTAGGATACTATTCTAGACGGCAATTTCCGTCCAGAATATTTTATCCTAGACGGAATATTCTAGACGGAAAATTTCCGTCTAGAATATTCCAAACTAGACGGAAAAATTTCCGTCTAGAATATTCCGTCTACAAAACTTGATTTTCTACTAGTGATAATTTCCTTTTAGCTGGAGACAAAAGAACGTCATTATCAATATTGAACTAATTTTAATAAATTAGTTTTTTTTGCATGTGCATAATGCACGCGCATGTAATCTAGTAAGGAGGAAAAGGAAAAAAAATTATTTAACTGATTAATTATTGGAGCAATGCAATTTTTTTAGCTAATGAAAATGTTATATAATTACACAACACTATCAAATAGCTATCAGATTTCATTTTCCAGTTTACACAGCATACCTCTGCTCTCTGACAATTGCTATCAGCTTTCGTTTTCCAATTTGAAGGAGAAAATGAGAAAATTGAAATTAAAGCATTCTACTTAACGTGCAATTTTTTCAAATTCTATATACAAGTCTTTTGATTAAAAAAATGCGTGACAATGACAATTTTTATTCTAATTTGCGTTACCTACTATGGCAATAATATTTCATGGTTACCCCCGACGGCCCACAAGATGGGGGCTCACAAGGTCACGAGACTACGACATGTCTACAACAACTTTTTTATTATTAGTCATTATAAGACTTTTATTATGGGCTTGGGCTATGAAAGAGGTGTTCGATATGAAGGTGTGAGCATAATTCCACATTGAAAAAGATGAGGAAGAGTAATGAGTTTAATACCTAATAGCTTTAGCTTTTTTGTAAAGCAAGATTACTTAGCGAGTACTATTAGGATTTGGGACGTTGAGCTTGAGTTTGGGCCTCTTTTCAGAAACACCCACGAGTGACCGGTTACACCATGTTACGGACCGAGAGTATGGGTGCAAATGTTCCAGACTTATTCGAAATGGATGTGCATATAGTAGCCAATTTTTGAAATAAGTTATATACAAATATCGGTTCAGATATTGAATACCGTTCACATGTTCGAGTTCAGATATGGATATAGATAAAGACATGGTTTTTTTTAAAAATATTATACATAATAATTGCTTGTGCTTTGGGATGGGCCATATACTTTTTGGTTATTGGATCGTGCATTTATTGGGGTAATCAATTTTGCATTTTGAACTTATTTATGGTCAAATTTACTATAATTTGATTTATTTTTTAACGATGATCCAGAAAACTTCCCATTTGAATAACGCACTTGGATTAAAATCATTTGAGAATTGACTTATCTTGATTGTATTAGATATTGTACACTACTTCTAAAAATTGATAATAGGCAACATATTGCAAATTTTAAGTAATGTTTATCTTTTTTATGCAAATTAGAGCAATTAATAAACATATATTCTCTTATATTTGATGCATATTTATTCACTAAGCATCTGATATATATCCTCGACCACACCGTATTTGTCTCCTCAGTATCTGCACCATACCTATTTCTATTTTTTGCGGACATGATTATGATATTTTCTTACCAATTGAAACCCATATTTATTTGTAGTTTTAGAAAGCTGATACGTAAGTGTCATATCGGAACCGTGTCTGATCCGTTTGCACACCTAGCCGAGAGTATCACCTGTGACATTCCTTGCACTTCCCATAATTGGCCGATTTGAGGGGCCACATCCAAGTTTCATCGCATAAAAATAAAAATTAATAATATCATTATTTCATTGCAAAAGATTTAAGATATATTCTGCTTGTCAATTACACGCCGCAAGCTAATATTATCATCGTCAACTTTGATCTAAACCTAAGATATACTTAATTTGTAGAAACATAGTCTAAATTGACCACTAATTTTAATGTTACATGCATAATGCACGGTCCAATACGACAGATTAAGTTCACAATTTTTTTCCGTAAGCAGACGACGAGCAAGAAACATTTGGTTCACACTTTGAGAAGGGCCGAGAGAGAAACGCTCCACTGAAGGCCCAATATTCTTTAAGATTGTAGTGAGATGCAAACATACGAAATCTACTTGTTGGAAGTAAACTCATAATTTACTTCTTTTCTGCACGCTGAATAGATAAAATCATAGATTAACTACATTCCAGTACTCTGAGGTATCATGTAAACATACGGATAATCTTGAAGTCTGCGTATCTGCACTAATAACCTTGAGATTGCCAATTGTAATTACACCGGTGGCTATAGAACATATCTTAACATCGTTTGTTTTTGCTAACTTTGAGTTCGTCTTAACATCGTTTGTTATTGCTAACTTTGAGTTCGTGAGAGATGTAAATTATAGCGTTAAAGTTAGGATTCGATTTTTGATTAGCTTTAGGATTAGAGTTGGGGTTAGGAATAGGGTCGTAGCGGTGATTGCCGACTAAATGTTTTCATTGTTACAAGTTATAACCCTGATTTTATCTCTTATGGTCAATAATTTTTGCTGTGTGATTCTAATTTTATTGTTATTTAATACACGATTTGTGCTTGCGCAAACAACAAAGTCGTTGTAGTATAGTGGTGAGTACTCCAACCTCTTCCCTGGTTATTATTAGTCCCACATCGGTCAGAGTGAGGACTGGCAGGGAGCGAGGGCACTGTAAATTGGGGCCTCGGCGCTCGGTTGAGAGCATCTTTGCGCTTGGGGCAATGACGCAGCTAATGAGGTATTAACCGAGGCGCGTCAATTGCTGGTTGAAAACTATTTCCAAACCCCCTCCTCGGCCCTTGGTTCAGCCTTGGGCCGTCGAGAATTTCTGGAAGGGCTCCCTCTAACCCAGGGTAAAGCCCTACAATTCTAACTTCTCTGAAACTTTCTAATTTCTAATTTTTTCTCTTAATTTTTTTGCCGAACTTGTTTCCGTATTAAAAAAAAAAGAAATAGTGGCATTTACTGCAAAAAAAAAAAAAAAAAAAAACTGGCCAGCTTAAAGGTTTTTGTACTAGTGGTAGTGATGGATATATCATTTTTCTTATTATGGTTGACGCAATTAAAAAAGTTAATTTAACAAAAGAGATTTTGTCCTTTTCATTGTTTTTAAAACATTATATCTGTATTTTACAATAAGCAGAGATAAAGTTTATACAATTGATTATTCATTTTCCTCTTTGTTCCTAATATTTTTTCATCAGTGTTTTTTCTCACAAACATAGACGAAGTCTATATAATTTTTTTATAAACAAAAGTCTATATAATTATATAAAAGTTAATAAAATAAATCAAGATATAAATAAAAAAACAATGAATTAGAACTTATTCAAGAATATCATGGCCATAAAATATTGACTCAAATAGTAAATGATTTGAGGTGGATTATAGATTGTCACGATTTCAATTCCCACGCTATTCGTCTAAAAAATAATTATAAAATATTTCAATGGCATCTGTTAAATAAAACTTTAATCTTTTTATATAATTAATTTCCACGAACAAACATATAAAATTTTAAGCAATAACTTCATTTGAGTTGCACACAAAAGAACGTCATTGTCAATATTGAACTAATTTCGATAAATTAGTTTTTTTTTCACGTGCATAATGCATGCGCATGTAATCTAGTAAGGACGAAAAGAAAAAATATTATGTTATTTAACTGATTAATTATTGGAGCAATTCAAATTTTTTAGCTAATGAAAATGTTATATAATTACATAACACTATCAAATAGCTATCGGATTTCATTTTCCAGTTTACACAGCATACCTCTACTATCTGACAGTTGCTATCAGCTTTCGTTTTCCAAATTGAAGGAGAAAATGAGAAAATTGAAATTAAAGCATTCTACTTAACGTGTAAATTTTTTCAAATTCGATATACAAGTCTTTCGATTAAAAAATGTGTGACGATGACCATTTTTATTCTAATTTAGGTGTTACCTACTGTAGGCTGTCTAAAAACCACAACATATAGTTTATCCCCATCAAACACTGATGATAGAAGTTACAATTCGACGACTTTCAGAATGCTATAATTTAAAGATTTTCACGTATATCGAGAAATGTTACAATCTGACGACCTCCACGGCAACCGATGAAAACTCTGATCAGCAGCCTTCACAATTAACGACTCTCACAACGATCGTCGCAACGCAGCTTCTAAACGTTGCATGGACGCAACTCAAATACAACTGCAAACGTGTACCTCCAAAACAACTGCAAACGCAGCTCCAATACAGCTGCAAACGCAGCTCCAATACAGCCACATGCACAGCTCAGAGTTCAAACGCGGACGCAGCAGTTCGAGTTCAGTTGCGAATGCAACTTCCATACCGCGCGTTCGAACGCAGGTCCACGCCCAGAACGCATATCCTACGTTTGACTCGTTCAAACACAAGTTGAACGGTTCCAAAACTGTTTCCTACGATTTGAGGGCGGTTACACCCCACATAGGAGTGAATTAAGGGGTTGTTACACCCCCTTAATCCCCTATAAATAAGAGGAAACTCAACCGAGTTGAGGGCTGGAATTTTTGGATCAAAAACGATCTGAAGAGATCGGCATTCAGCAATGGAGATCATCTTCAACTTCAGCAACGAGGAACTCGTTTTTGGCTATAACCGACTTTCGGTTCAAATCAACTCTTTTACAAGAGTTTAAACTCGCTTTGAGTTCCTAATTTGGCTATAACCGACTTTCGGTTCAAATCAACTCTTTTACAAGAGTTTAAACTCGCTTTGAGTTCCTAAACTCGTTAAGAGTTAATTTCAAACCAAATCAACTCTTTTACAAGAGTTTAAACTCGCTTTGAGTTCCTAAACTCGTTAAGAGTTAATTTCAAACAAGCTTTGCAAGTTCTCCACAGCGTCAAAT